GTTTTCTAGCCTGGCGTAGCCCCTCTCCTGTCCTGCCTCTCGCCTCTTGCTTGTTTCTTCCGTAACCCTTTCGCTCAAGGCTCCTAGGGAGCCGCGCAGTTTTCTTTTTGGAGGTGAGCGGGCGAGGTCATAGCACGCGCGCCGGCTGCTCGGGCCCTCGTGCTCGCGCCGCGCCGACTGCGCGGCTCTTCGCCTGCCCCCGGCCGCTGGGGCGGCCAGGCGCCAGAGGAGGAGCGGCGAGGGGCGCCGCGAGGGAGGTGACGCCGCTCGGGGCAGCGAGGAGCGCCGCGGCGGCGAGGCAGCAAGATGAGGCCGGTCCACGGCCTTGAGTGGACGCTCGCCCTGGCCATGGGCGCGCTGGCGACATGGCTTGACGTGTCGTTCGGCATGAACTGGTACGCCACGGTCCACGCGTCCGCCACCGTGACGGGCCCTGAGGAGGGAGGTCACGAGCGCGCTGGGCCAGAGGACGAGGAGGATGAGAAGCAGCAGGACCAGCCTGGTCACCCAGATGAGGCCAGCTGCGAGGACGCGGGCGGAGACGAGCTGCCAGCGGTCGAGGCGCCCGACGGGCCACCTCCGCCAGCGGCGCTCCCCGCTCCCGCCGAGCCCCAGGTTACGGACCCGCCGCCAGCCATGGCCGGTCCGGGCAGGCGCTCCGCCCGCAGTGGTCAGCGCTCCAGCGAGCGGTACCACTACGGCTACTACTACTACTACTACTACTACTACTACTACTACTACTACTACTACTACTACTACTACTACTACTACTACTACTACTATTACTACTACTACTACTACTACTACTACTACTACTACTACTACTACTACTACTACTACTACTACTACTACTACTAACTACTACTACTACTAACTACTACTACTACTATACTACTATTTTATTACTATTACTACTACTATTATTACTACTACTACTACTACACGACTGCTACTATATACTACCACCATTACTACTACTACTACTACTACTACTACTACTAACGACTACGACTACGACTACGCCTCGAACTAAACGCTACGACTACGACTACGACTACGAACTACGAAACGAACTACGACCTACTACTACGCTACACTACGACTACTACTACGACTAACCACTACTACTACTACTAGCTAACTTACTAACACCACCTACACTACTACTACACTACTACTACTACTACTACACTACTACTACTACTACACTACTAACGACTACTACTACCTACTAACGCTATACTAACTGCTACTAACTACTAACACTGCTACTACGACTAACTACTACTGCTGCTAGCTAGACTACTACTACTACTACTACTACTACCACTACTACCAACTACCACTACCTACTGCTACTACTACTACTACTACTACTACTACTACTACTACTACTACTACTACTACTACTACTACTACTACTACTACTACTACTACTACTACTACTACTACTACTACTACTACTACTACTACTACTACTACTACTACTACTACTACTACTACTACTACTACTACTACTACTACTACTACTACTACTACTACTACTACTACTACTACTACTACTACTACTGCTACTACTACTACTACTACTACTACTACTACTACTACTATACTACTACTACTACTACTACTACTACTACTACTACTACTACTACTACTACTACTACTGCTACTGCTGCTGCTGCTGCTGCTGCTGCTGCTGCTGCTACTACTACTACTACTACTACTACTACTACGACGCCCTCGCCGGAAAGGTTCCACCTCGTGCGTTCAGTGGCCTCGAGGAGTCCAAGGCGGGCGAGGAGAGGGAGGAGGGCGCCGCGCAGCGGGGCGATGCAGTGCGGCCAGAGGTTGAGGCGGCGCGCGAGGCGCAGGCTTCTGAGGCAGGCCCGCCGCCTCCCCCGCCCGAGGGGCAGGGGGGGGCAGGCAACCTGACGGACGAGGGCGGCGAGCCGCCCAGCGCTCCCAGCCCGACCCCGGACGTGGCGCGCGATGGAGGGCTGTTCTCGATGGAGCGGCTCAACTCTTGGGTCGAGGCGGCGCTCAAATGGCTGGGGGAGAGGGTGGGGTGCGCTCTGGGCGCGCTCCTCCACCAGCTCATCGCGCTCATCATGGGACTGGTCGACTCCATGGGCCTTTACCTGCTCGGCTCTTACTGGTCGAAGTTGCAGTGGGCAGCCATGGGGCTGGCAGCGCTCGGGGTCGCGACGGTCGTCGGCTCGGTCGTAGGCTTCCTCATCTGGTTTCTAAGCACATCATGGAACTACGCGTCGCTTCTGCTCGCAACGCGCCGAGGCTTCGCGCGGGGCAGCAAGACCGGGCGCGACGTGAAGCTGGCGCTCGATGGTAACTCAGCGGCGGCTCTCAGCTGGCGCGGCCCGTCGGAGGTGATGGCGGTGGACGAGGGCTACGTCGAGAACGAGGTCCGGGCGCGAGGGGGCGGAGCCGTGAAGATGATGCCCGACGACCTCGTCATCCAGTCGGGGGGCTCGGTCGCCAGGTTCGAGCAGGGGCCGCTGAACGGCGGCCGCGTCACTCGTCATGGCTACGTGTACAAGTTCAGGGAGGTGAAGGGCAGCGCCCATCCCCACCTGAAGGCCGACCTTGAGGCGACCCGCGACGACGATGGGGTTGGCGTGGTGCACGTGCTCGCTACCTCGCCCTGCACTCTTCCTGCGGGCGACAAGCCCATGGTTCGCGTGTGCTCCTCGTGCGTGGTTGCCCGCAGCTCCCGGATCAACGTGGCGTACTCGGCCAAGCTTTCCCCGTCCGGACGCGCTAGGGCCGGCGGTGGGCTCTGTTGCTCATGGGCGTGTCGTGGAGCGGGCGAGGCGGGCTGGAGGCTGTTCGGGCGTTGTGCCAGGAGGAGGTTGAGGCGCCCCAGGCCAGGCCAGCCGCCCAGCGCAGCCGAGGAGATGGGCCCCAACTCGGAGACCGAGTCGGAGCCCAGCGTGGATGTCTGCCAGGCTGACCAGGTGGCGTACATCACCAAGGATGGTACCCAGGTCCTGAGCGCCGCGTGCTGCAGGGACACGGCCAGGCAGGACCCGGTCTTCATGCTGGTCGAGGACGCAGCCGTATCCGACGTGCGCGAGATGCAGGAGGAAGGAGGTGCCCGGGCCTTCCGGGCATGCGCCCACCACGCGGGCACCTACGAGAGCCAGGCGGCGACGCGGAGGTGCGCGCGCTCGCAGTGCCATCGCGCCCACGTGGTTGAGAAAGACGGCTTCTCACTCTGTGCGGCTCACTCAGCTGATCGGATGGTGGGCTGGCGCAGCCGCTCGGTCACGCCCCGCCAGGATGATGAGGCACGAGAGCGGCGGTCAAGCAGTGGGGGGCCAGAGAGGAGTGGCGAGGGCCGCGCGGCTCGCCGCCCTTCAGGGGCCTCGGGCCGCAAGGGCAGCCCCGCCAAGGCCGAGGCTGATGCAGCCCGGCTGCTGCGCGTGCGCGACCCCCTGGCAGATGTTGAGCGCGAGTGGGGCGCGTGCTACAGCTTCCCGGCGCGCTTTGTCGGCCCGGCCAAGGACTGCGGTGGTGGCGACCCGCGGACGGACGTGGAGGCGGTCGGCTTTGGGCTGGTCGCCTCCATCCCGGACGGCGCCTTCTCAGCCCCAAGGCCGGAACTGCTCGACGAGTTCGTGGGGGCCCAGCCGCCCGCCATCTGCTGGCGTTCGGGCGCGGCGCTTCGGCTCTCGGACCACGGCGACGGCGCGAACCATCGGGGTGATGTCCTGGGCCCGGCGTCAGCCATAGCGCTCAGCAAGGGCCGCGGTCGCCATCGCCTCGCCAAGCAGGCGCGCTCCTGGAGCCGCAGCACCACCCCGACGCGGCGCGAGGCGCAGTCGGACCTCGACGCGAGGCTGAGGAGGCTCAGGCGCAGGGGGAGGAGCAGAGGAGTCAGGATCCGAAGTCGTCGCTCATCTCGGCCTACCTCACCAAGCGCGCTGATGGACTCACGGACGGGGCAGCCAGAAGGGCCATCTCGGCCGAGAGCGGCATGGACAGGCACGAGCTGCTAGCGGAGCTCATCGGGGCAGCCGACGCGATGCACGGAGGAGGCGTCAGCGAGGTGGGCGTCAGTCTCCTCAGAGGCTGCCAGGATGGATGGAGCAAGGAACTTGAGGGGGGAGGTGGGCCAGCCCCCAGGAGGGGCTGAGGGGCCCCCCGCGCCGCCACGGGCCCACGCGTCCTGCGACGGCTACGAGGCGGCAGCGCGCGGGCAGAGGGCGACGGCGCCATCTTGGCCCGCGCGGGGCGAGCAGCCGGGCCCAGCGGCGCCGCCAGGGCCGCCCCGAGCGGGACCTCCGCCGGGCCTGGGCTTTCTCGGCTTTGGCCAGAGGCCGCCCCCCCGGCAGGAGATGCAGGCCAGCTTCAACCCGAGCGCGTTCTACGGGGCGGGAGGAGCTAGCTCAACCACACCTTGGACCGCCACACCTTGGACCGCTCGGCCGCCCCGGCAGCTCTCCTTCGTGGGGCGGGCCACGCGCCCGCGCGAATTGCACGCGGGAGCTTCCTCGATGCCGCAGGAGGAGAGGGTCCTGGGGGCGCCGTCACCGGAGTCCGAGGTCGGCATCGGGCTGCAGAATTTGGCGCGCGAGCTGGGGCGAGCCAACAAGCGCGCGGAGGAGTCTGGAGGCGCAGCCAAGGGTACCCTGGCCAGCATCGGGCGCGTGGAGGAGCAGCTCGCGTTCATGGCGAGGGGGTGCGACTTCTACGCGGTCACGCTGTGCCCGGGACTGCTGGGCAAGGACGCGTTTCGCGTGCTGAGGTCCATGGGTCAGAACTCGAGGCTGCTCTTCCGGTCGATCAAGTTCCCCACGAACATCACCAACAGCATCGCGTACGGCCTCACGGCGTTCCAGCGCGGCGGGCGCGATCATATCCACCTGCCGGACTACTGCTTCAGCTGTGCAAACTTCCCGAAGACGACGGAGGCCGACGTGGGCAACCATGTGCCGCCGAAGGACTACAACCTTGAGGCACGGCGGAGGCGCGCGTCC